AATGCTCTGAGCCCCTCCCAAGCTGGAGAGGGAAGGGGTTGGGAATGGCCAGGACCAAAGGCAGGAGGCTCCATCAGTTCAGCTCCCTGACACCCCTCTCCCATGGGACCCCTCCACTGGACCCCATAGGAGCATCTCCTTGGGCCGTGCTGGCCGAGCCCGTGCTGTGAGTCCAGAGACAGCCAGGAGGATGAGGAAGATCCGTCTTTGGGATTGACCCGCTAAAGCTAAACTAAGCTGAGCTGTTTCCTCTAAGTAGCTCAAAGGAGGATGATGGAAGGGGCGGGGGAAGGGATACAGTTTGTGCAGGTGGAGGGAGTGCTACAGGGCCTCCTACCCTTGCCCCTGGCAGTGCTAGATGGAACTGGAATAGGTGTGGCAGGCTTATCCTTAGGCCTTGTTGGGGATCAGGTTTGTAGCTGGACCCCCTAGTGGCCCATAGGATACCACAAAAAACCGCCCCCAAAACACACAACAATAAAAGTAGCAAGAAAGTTCTGCCCGGGGCCCTTGAAAGTTGGGTTTGCCTGCATCCTGGCCGTGTGGCTCAGTTGGTTGAGCATTGCCCCAAGCACGGAGAGGTCACCAGTTGATTCTCAGTCAGAGCACAAGCCCCAGTTGCAGGCTCCAACCCCAGTAAGGGGCGTGCAGGAGGCAACGGATCAATGGATATTTCTGCTCTCCTTGATGCTTCACTATCTCCCTCTCCTTTCTTCTCTCTCTCTAAAAAAAATCAATAAAAACATTTTTTAAAAAGAAAGTGTTGGGCCAAAACCGGTTTGGCTCAGTGGATAGAGCGTTGGCCTGCGGACTGAAAGGTCCCGGGTTCGATTCCGGTCAAGGGCATGTACCGTATTTGCCGGCGTATAAGACGATTTTTTGGCCCTGAAAAATATGCCTCCAAGTGGGGGGTCATCTTATACGCCAGGTACACTTCAGATAGACTGCCCATAGTGCTTGCCCCGTGCCATAGTGGCCTCCCGATGCCCGCCCACTTCATTCCACATACCGTTCAGGCATTAGCAGCGCTGCTGGGTGTATGCTCGGCTGTTATGCGATTTTGCGAGTGTGGTAAATTCGGGTTACCGTATATTTCTTTACATATGCATTGAAGATTCGCGATTTTGCGCTATCATGGTGCCTGTTAGAATGTTGAAGAGCTCGCAATTGCGCACGAGTGAGGTCCCAGGGAGATGCTGATGCAAGGGTGGACCAGACTGCTATAGTGACAGGGCGGGCAAACAGGGAGCAGGGACCAATCAAATCAGGCTTTGTATACAGCCAACAGCCAACCACAATACTGCCCCATTGTACAGTACAGCATAGAAAATGTCGACCAGTCAAACCCCTATCATCCCTATCATGGCACCAAGATGTCGTTGATGAACTTTTAATATCAGACGATGAAGAGGAGTTTGAAGGCTTTTAAGGTGAAACTGTCACGCCAGCAAACTTGCTAGGGACTTGCCCGGCACTTGCTCTCTCCCTCTATTTGTTATCTTCCTTCTATCATTGACAGTCCCTCTAGGTTGTGGGCTGCTTGCCTGTGTTCCTGAGAAGCATCTACGGTACCAGTCTATAGAGTGTGTTTTCTTTAGTGAATTACCGGTATGTTTACCGGTAATAAACTTGCACTGTTTTATGTATGTGTTTGATTACATACAGCCTTGTGACAGTTTTCCTGCATGTCATAAGCATTTGAATATAAATTAAAATGTTAAAATCAAATCTGATATTGTTTTACCTTTTATTTGGTGTGTGGAAGGTGTGCGGAAGAGGGGGTAGTCTTATACGGCGAGTATATAACAAACTCTGTATTTTGAGTGGAAATGTTAGGGGGTCGTCTTATACGCCCAGTCGTCTTATACGCCGGCAAATACGGTACCTGGGTTGCGGGCACATCCCCAGTAGGAGATGTGCAGGAGGCAGCTGATCGATGTTTCTCTCTCATCGATGTTTCTAACTCTCTATCTCTCTCCCTTCCTCTCTGTAAAAAATCAATAAAATATATTTTTTAAAAAAAGAAAAGAAAAGAAAGTGTTGGGCATGTGAGGCTTTCCTCCACCTGCAGCACAAGCCAGCCCCTGCTCTATGTTTGATTCTGAAGAAGGTCTGGAAGGTGGTGGTGGAAGGGCTCCCACCTTCGACCTGCTACAAGGATGAGGTGCAAAGGGCACCAGATCAGGGAGGGAGGTGTGGATGGAACTGGCTTCTGAGAGATGGGGCTCATCTGTGACCCCTTCTAGGATGGCACAGATGTGAAGCAGTTTACAAAGAAACATGCCTGGGATTATTACTGGGATCAGTGAGAATGGGAGTTCACACTGAGATCGGGGAGGAGTCCCACCCAGGGTTCCTCAGATCTGCCAACACAAAGTGAGCCCAGAGGGTGTGGAGAGAGAAGGCCGCAGATCTAATCTATAGGAAGGAGAATTATCCTCCTCATAGTGTTCTAGCTACTTCTGTGGTTCCAAGTGTATCTCCAGCTCCAAGTCCACTGGAGGACACAGACCATGGGGTCTAGCAAAGTCCTTTTGAGTGTTCCCAGCGCAGGGGCAGCCCGGGTCTCAGTGATCTACCAAGCCGAACAGGAGGCCATGCTGATTATTTGCGGCTCTCGGACCCACGGAGACACGAAGTCCTAGAGCCCTGGGAGACTGACTTCCTAGCCTGCAGACAGTTGAGTGCTTTTCCAGAAATAGGAATTGGCCAGGCTCCCTGTGTAAGGTGCCAGCCCAGCCCTCTTACATAAGAAAGTATTGTTTATTCTCGCCAAGGGTCAGGAGGCCAGCTCCTCCACAGCCACAGGGGCTCAGCAGATGGCAGAGCTGAAGCCGAGGGGGCAACGGCCTTTGACCCTTTTTCCCAGCGGGAACCAAGCCTCATCCACTGAAGGCTTCGCCCCACACAGGCCCCTGGGGGGGATGAGGGGGAGGGGTAAAAAGTGAAGGGGTTGCGGGGGTGAGGACAGTTGCATCTGTGGGGTCCTGGGGATTCCATCTGTGAGTCAAATTCTCTAAGTCTCAATACTTTTCTAAAATTAAAGTATAATTGACATATAGTATTATATGAGTTTCAGGTGTGCAACATACTTCTTCATCAATCTAAGTACTTTCAAGCCCATTTATGTCTATATGAGGGGAGGAGGTTAGGTGGGCACAGCGAGAGGCAGTTTTCAACTAGGAATGTCCTTACTAGGTGTTTTGGCGTGTGCATGTGTGTGCAGTATGGGGCCACTACAAAGGCTTTTTAAACAAGGAACGTGAAAGCTCTCCTCTTATCCCTCCCCAACTCCCACGTCGGGGCTAACACTGCTAATAGTTAGTAGACTTCCTTTCAGATATTTTGTGCAAACATATTTCTAAAATGAAAAGCAGGACCATACTGAGCATACTATTCTGCAAGCTGCTTCTCCACTTACTATATTGCCGGCTTCTTTTCATGTCCATACAGCGTGGGTTTCCAATTGGCCCGCCCAGGCCCCCCGTGCTGGACACTTAGGCTGTTTCCGTTTGTCTGCTATTCTACCTCATCCTGCAGACAATCTGGGTGTCCTCATCCAGTTATTTCCTTAGGAAAAATTCTGAGAAGTGGAGTCTCTGGGTCAAGGGCCTACCCAGGTAGAGACGGCCCCCCAGTTCGGTCGGGAGGGCCAACGTGTGCAGGTCCCTGTGTTTCCTTCAGTCCATGCCACTGTGAGCCCCTTTATCCCTCCCTCTGTAAGCAGGACATCACCATGGGCAGACTGAGGCCACACCCCACCAATCCCTGTCTCTAGTGGTCTTTATTCCTCATCCCCTTCCCTACATGACAAAAAACCCACAAAAAACAACATGTCAAAACCTCTGTGTTCCCATTCCAATTAATCAGACTGGAGTGACCAGAGGACTGAAAGCCCTAATCCTATTGAGGATGGGGCCATACGTTCGTGGGATTCAGACTGTCGGTCCCCACCACGGCTAAGGCAGAACTGCTTACCTGAAACACATCTCCATTGATCGTGGTCCCCATGTCCTCAGGACCAGCTAGAAAGAGAACAAGGAGACAGCATTACTCATTGCTCAGCTTATAGCAGGCACAGAATGGTCCTACGTTAGTGCCCCAAGCCGGCTTCTGTATATGCCCACGCGTGTATTCTCCCCCCAACACAGACATGATGGATACTTGGGCCCAATCCTTTGACTGCTCACCATGCCTTCTCACAGCCTTTATCACATTTGATTTTCACCACAGCCTTGTGATGAAGTTGTTATCAATCCATTTTGTAGATTCTCAAACTGAGGCTCAGACAGACTATGTAATTACCCAAGGTCGTCCAGTCAGTAATAGCTCCTCTCCTACCTGAAGCGGATTTACCCTCCGCTGCGGCTGGGAATGGCCCAGTAGAGCCTGTGCAGGCAGAGGCACTGTAGGCTCAGGGCGGGGTCTGCGAGGGCTAAGGAGGAGGGACCTGCAAGTCTCTGCCTGTCCCTGCAGGGCCTTGAGCAACTAACTGCTCCACCTGGGACAGCAGGAACCGCAGCCCCCACCAGGCAGCACCTGCCCTATTTTTCCTGCTTCTGCCCCTCCCAGAAGGATTTCATTTTGCCCTCAACTATGACTCCTCCTGGTCCCTTTCCCTGACATCTGATTAGTCACAAATTCCTGTGGCTTCTGCTGCAACAGTGACCCTCAAAGTGGCCCTCCGCTTTTTGCCCTCTGCCCAGCCCCAGCCCCAGCCCCGGCTCTCCCCCTGCTAGTGGCAAATACCTGGAGGGGCCCCCTGTGTCCTTTCTCCTCACCACTGTCTTCCCTGAGCCCTGCAGGGTTTCGTGATGTAGTAAGAGCCAGAAACTATGGGTTCAATAAACAAATTACAAAATGCATTAAGGAAAGGAAGAATGAATGACTGGCTTCCCTGACTCCAAGTTGCCCTCTGCTCTCTACCCCGTGCCCTGCTCCAGCCCCACCTCTCACCCATACAGTGTGCCCATAAAGCATACACTTACCTATGTCATTCCTCTAATTTAAAATATAATAACAACAAACCCAAAAGAAATCCACTTCCCCTGGACCACAGCGGCCTACAGGGCCTGCTCCTGCTTCTGGGACTCAGCAGGTACTGTTCCCCCTGCCTGGAAGGCCTCCTTGCCCATCTCCACATGGGCTGCTCCCTTCAGCCTCTGGTTGCCTTAGTGTTGGCCTTCCCTGACCACCCCCGACATTCACCCCTCCCGTACCTCCCCTCCCCAGTAGTATTTTCTCACAGCACTTAGCACAGGTGATATGTTTATTAGTGTGTGCTTATTATCTGTCTTCCCCACTAGAACGGACCCCCAATAGAGCAGAGACTTCGTTTTGTCCATTGCTGGGGCCCAACACCCACAATCTGGCGCATAACAGAAACTCCGTAAATATCTGTCAAATTCCGGACCATAGCACCTGAGGGTCTTTAAAGCCTGGTCCTGTCCATATTTTCCTGCCTTGCTGCCCACCAGTCCCTCCCACAAACCCTATTCTGGTTTCCTCCTTCCCCAAACACATCCTGTACCCCAAGCCTTTCTTCCTGCTTCCCTCTCTAAAGAATGCTCTTAGATCCAGTCATTCTCCAAGACCCAGTTCATGAGTCACCTCCTCTGGGAAGCCCTCCACTACTGCTGTTTCCCTAGGCACTGATGGACGGTCTCGCCTCTGGGGTAGTCCAGAATACTGAACAGCACCCCCTGCCCTCTTATGCAATTACTTGTGACCTCTCACGGGTCATGCACTCCTTTATCAGGCTCTGTATCCTACTCAGCTCCTAAAGGCTCCAGCACAGAAACAGTGAACAGTAAGTGTTGGCTAAATGGAAACTGAATTGCTCTTTGGGGGCCGACTGCTATCTGCAAGGCCGCTCCGCAGCCTCTCAGAAACTGCCTAGCAAAAAGCCACAGGAGGCCCCATGGGAGGAGCACAGGTGGACTGGTATCCCTTTACCAGCTGGCCAGCGTGGTGAGCAGCAGCAATGCTGCCTTCAGCCTGGGGACTGATGGGAGGGACACTTAATCCATGGAAATAATCCCCAGTCGATATAAATTATAATCAACGCCATTTTCAGACTCAAACAGTGATTGATTCTGGTCAACTATGTCAGCTGTCATCCCTAGGCGTTCAGATAGGGCTTCTCCTGGCTGAGTGGCAGCATCTTCCCCCGGCACCTCCTCTACCAGGGCCTTACGTTACCAGGGTCCATTCAGGATGATGCCAGTCGGTGCACCTGGCCTCTCTGGAGTGGAAGTTGCACCACCCTACTCCACCCTGACCGGCCCCCGGCTCAGGCCCCTCATCCACAGGCCCGGCCCACGCTGGCCTCAGAAAGCCCCTCAGCCCGTCTCAGGTCCATGAGTGTTCCTCTGGAGATGGAAGTTTCAGCCTCTTTGGGAACCCACACACACCCACACGCAGAGTTAGGAGTATTTGCTCCCACAATGCCTTCTGGTTTGTCTATTGCACATTTATAATCACGTGTCCATAGTCAGAGGCTGGCAGAACAGGGGCACAGGAGACACGAGTTCCAGGCATCACCAGTGGGTGTTGTTTCACTCAGATCCTTGACCCCTTTTGGAACGGGGGCAGACAGGGTCCAGAACATTCCTGGGAGCTTACTGAGGCCCAGATGGGGAAACAGGCTTGCCAGGAACCTACTTGGTGAGTCAGGGGCAGAGCTGGGCTGGGCCGCTCAGCAATCTGGGTGTGAAAAAGTAAACCTTCTGGGTCCTGCCCCAGGTGATGAATGGAAACAAAGTGTCCATTGCTCAGGCTGGCCCAGCCCCAGCCCCAGAGGAGAGACTATGTGGCTCAGGCTCAGGTCTACACCAGACACCTCTTTCCACAGGGGCACCAGGGAGCCAACGTCAGAGCACTCAGCACAGGGGTGTCATCTAAGACAGCGGTCGCCAACCTTTCGGACCTCACGGACCACCAGATGGGCGGCGGTGGGAGCCAGCATCCGCCCGGTCCCGGAAGGCCAAGGCACATGCACCCATCCATCTTGGCTTCTGGCACTCTGGGCTAGTCAGAGGGCATTACTTGCTCAGCACCAACTAGGGCTAGAAGGGCAGATCAATTCCATCCTGCTTAGCCACCTACGGGGCCACCATCCTACAATACCTCCTGGGTCCCCATGCCCCGCTCAGGACGGCAGCTGAGCACTTGCAGCTGTGGTGGGTGTAAGTCCAGGAGGATCTCAGAGGGCTGTGCCCCACCCTGTGCCCCAATCTGTACCCCACCCTTGCCAGAGAGGGAACCTCCTTATCCAGGCTGTCAGCCCCTGGAGCCCCACTGTTTGGGGAGTGGCTCAACTCCCAGAGGCCTCTGGCTAGCTGGGCTGACTTTTACCTGCCTCTCCCTCAGGAAGTTCTAACTTCGGGTCTTTTCAGCAGGGCCTCCCTCAGGCCAAGCCAGATCAGGGAAGCTGAGGGTCTCAAGGAAGAGGCGTGGACAAATGAACACTGGTGCCTGACTGTGGACAGGCATTTCCCTGAGATGTGTGAAGGTCCGTGCTGAGCTGCTGCTCTGAAAGGCTTCCATGGCTGGCTGGGTAACAAAAGACTCACTGCCCGCCTCCCCCCGCCGCCTGTCACCTCCCAGTGACTGCGGAAGCATCTGAAAGCGCACGGAGCTCAGACTTGGGAGGCCTGGGATTGGATCAAGCCCCAGCTCTGTCACCCACAGCTGTGTGACTTTGGGCAAGACACTCACGCTCTCTGGGCCTCCAGGTTCTTATACGTTACGGAAGGCTTGTTACAGTTCTCATAGCAAGGGGCTACAGAGATGCTTCAAGCTCCTTACCACGGGAACTGTCTTAGTCATAGCTGCATCCCCGGTGGGCCTGGCAGGTGCTCAGTAAATGTTGAATGAATACAAACATGCCTATAAGGAGCCTTACTTGTAAACATTTTTTTTTTAAATATGGAAGCTACCACTTATTCCAACAGGCCCATAAACCCCCACCAAAATGACAGCACTAACAGGAAGCAAGGGCTGTTTTGGATGCACCTGTGAAGATGCTATCTACTTTTTTACTAAATATTTTAAGAAATTATTCTCTCAAGCCAGAACCACAGCGGGAACACTGGCAAACATGCTGTTCTGAAGCTAACCACAACAGCCCTGGACCACCTTTGGAAAATGCCAGAGGGCAGAGCCACATTTGACCAAAATCCACGATGTCCTGGTATCTCACTCAGAGCCAGGCATGTGGAAGACAGTGTGGTCAGGTGGACAGGGCTTAGGGTCTTCCGGACACAGGTTTAAATCCTTGCTCTGCCGATTGCCAGTTGCTCCAGTACTGTGCTTTTTTTTAGCCTCGATTTTGCCACCTCTGAAATGGGTCTGACACTGAGTATCCAATGATGACATGTAAGTACAAAATGCCTAGCCCAGCACCTGCAGGTGGTCCCAAGGGAAAGTGTGTGAGTTTCTGGACACCCTCCTGCCTTCCCAGCTGCAGGAGGAAGCTTCGTCCGAGGGGCAGAGGGGTCTGCTGTCCTGCCCACACCTTCGGGGCTCGGCTGGGAGCCGGAGACAGGCCCCCCTGGAGGCTCGGGGACACTCCGGGGCGGGGCGGTGCTGGATTCCAGAGCCGCGCGGCGGTGGAACTGGCCGGGGAGGAAACGTCCGGAGGAATTCTGGTCCCGGGAGTACCCGGCCCACCCAGGCGGGGCCTCTAGCAGGATCTCCAAGGAGATTCCTCCCCGGTTCCCAGACCCTACACGCACACACGGCCCCAGGCCCGCTCCCGGCGGCCGACCGACGGCGGGCCCTCTGTCCCCCGGGCGCCCCCGCCCCCGTGCCCGGCCGCCCCG